TGTGTGGGGGGGGTGCGCGCACACACGTGCACATTCAAGCACACAGAGTAAGCTTTCTCATGAAAGTGGACATTTCTCAGTAGAGAGAAGAAGAAGAGAGGAAACAGCCACCCTCTGGCCTACGTTACAGAGCACCTGGAAATCCGAGACAGATTAACACCCATCAGAAACAAGCGAGAAAACTACTCAGGAAACAGAAATGAATGGAAAGTGCATAAATAGCACTGCTGACACAAGGGTGCCGTGTCAGCAAGAAGGCCAGGGCCTTTGCTGATGATTCAGAGGCATTCGAGAACTGGGACCGTGTGGCAGGAGTAGACCACTCATGACTACAAGTGTCATCTCAAGACAGCAGACCGTTCGAAGCTACACCCTCGGTGACTGCAAGGCTGGGGAGATCAGGACACCATTAAAGGGACACAGGGGATTGTCTCCATGACATTCCGACACAAGGAATGACAAAGTAAAAGCTTCTAAGAATCTAAGGTCATGGCCTGTCCTCATGGAGGAGTTTCAGTTGCAAATGGAGAGTATCTGAGTGACCCATGCACCCACGCTGGTCTCAGCATCAGATCTGAATCCTCAGTGAGAACAGCCACAAGTCTTCCAGCAAATCATCACCATCCAAGCTCCCCAGTTCCAGTATCCCCAGTGCAGATGGTCATCCGAGTGTAAGCTCAAAAATCATAGATTGCCAAGCAAATGGAAAAGCAATTCATTCCACTAGAGTCAAGGGAGAGAGAGGGGAAGTAGGCAGGGATGATGCCCTGAGAGATTTCAGGGTTTTTTGTTTTGTTTTAGATTTATTTATTATGGATACAGTGTTCTTCCTGCACACCAGAAAAGGGCACTAGATCTCATTACAGATGGGTGTGAGCCACTATGTGGTTGCTGGGAACTGAACTCGGGACCTCTGGAAGAGCAGCCAATGCTCTTAACGGCTGAGCTATCTCTCCGGCCCAGACTTCAGATTTTTTTAAATGCCAGTTGATAAAATTCAACCTCCTTTTTGAAAAAAAAAAAACAAAAAAAAAACAAACAAAAAAAAAAACAAAAAAAACTTCAACAAATTAGATACATAATGAATGTAACAACATGGTAAAGACCATTAATAAAGAATGATCTTGCAACTTTATTACATTCAACTGGAAAAACCTGGAAGCTTGTCTAGGCTCTGGATAAGGCAAAGATGCCTGACTTTACTGATTTTTTTTACACTTATTTTATTTTAGGTGTTGGAATGATGTGCACCATGTGCATACCTGGTACTCACAGAGGTCAGAAGAGGGCATTGGATCCCACTGAAATCGGGGTTATGGATGGTTGTGAAACACTGTGTGTGGTGCTGGGAGCTGCACTTCTGCAAAAGTAACAAGTGTTCTCAACTTGTTTGATATTTGAGAATTTCCTTTTGAGTCATTCAGTTTGCAATCACGGGGCTGGAGAAATGGATCCAAAGCTAAAGCACTTGTGGCATCCATATATCCACCCCACCCCCTCTCTTCTCTGTCTATCTATCTATCTATCTATCTATCTATCTATCTATCTATCTATCTATCTATCTATACAGGTTCAGGGGCTCTGATGCCCTCTTCTGCCCCCCTGTGCACCAGGCAAAACACTCATGCACATAAGATAAATATTTTTTTGAACTTCAACGAAAAACAAATCTTCTGGCAAAATTCTCCCCTTCACTGCCATCCTCTCCCCTTTACTCTGTGTTTTGAACTTGCTGGTCATGTTCTTAAAGTCCATGTTGATAGTTCCTAGGTCTGTGTAGTGTGTAGTATTTTCCCCCTTTTGAAGTTTTGGTTTTCTCATTCTCGTTCCTTTAAATCCTACAGCCTTTTTTTTTTAAATAGTCTGGCATTTCCCAGACTATTTAAAATATATTTATTTTTTTTTACGCGTGTGTTTTGTCTGTACACCTGTGTATGTGTGTGTGCGCGCCCTATGCATGCCTGGAGCTCTTGGAGGATACCAGAAGAGGGCATTGGGTCCTCTAAAACTGCAATCACAATTGCTTGTGAGCTGCCGTATGGGTGCTGGGAACTGCTTGCAGGTCCTCTGTGACAGCAGACTGATCTTTTTAAATGCTGAGCAATTTCTCCAGCCCTGAGCCTTGTAACTTTCGATATAAGGGCTCACGTTGCCGACTGAGATGCCATCCAGACCCTGACATTGCTGTACCCAACTGGAGATGGCTCACTTCTCCTAGAAGCTTCCGTCATAGCCAGTCGAGGCCAGGCTGTGGCAGGTCTCATTGTCAGGGCCCGTCTGGGCTCTGCTGTGCATCCCTGGGTTTCCATGACACCTGCAGCCTGTAGTACTGGCCTACCACTGCGGAAATTTCCTTTGACTTTCAGAGGCTCTTGGCTTAGTCTCTGAAATTCTCTACCTAGGTTTCAGAACGTGCCAGATGTCTTCAGGGGAGAGCTGCCTGTGTGTCCACCTTGGGATTCCACTTCCTTTTCTTAGCCTCCTGTTTGCTTTCCACCACAGCTCTGCAGGTTTTTCTGTCACTCAGCAACAGCTCTTTGCCTGCAAAGACTCCAGTCTCTCAGCCACTCACCCCGTGTCCAGAATGCAAATGGGCTGGGAGCCAGCACTGTTCACTGCTCCCTGTCCCTGCACCCTCTAGCCCCCTGCCCTAGAATCTTGGCCTGTTACCCTCACTGCTTCAGTAACTCTGAATCCTTTGCATGGGTTTGAACATTTTATCTGCGCCAGCTGGCCACTTACGGGCAGGGGTGCTGGGGTGCAGGGGTGCTTTGCTGGCTTTGCTCCAGAGTGGGAATAGCCCTGTGTGTTTGTTCTTCCAAAAAGAAAGTTCCAGCTTATGGTTCAAAATGGATAGTTGTCCAAGATTGACCTTAATTTATTTTTCATGGTCTGTGTGTTAGTGTTTTGCCTGAAAGTATGACTGTGTACTGCATGTGTGCAGTGCCTATGAAGGCCAGAAAAGGACACCAGAACAACAAACAGTTGTGAGCTGCAGTGTGGGTTTTGGGGGATCAAACCTGGGTTCTTTGGAAGAGCAGCCAGTACTCTCAACTGCTAAGCCATTTCTTCAGTTCCCCAGTACTGAGCTTGTAAAACATTACTATTTCTAATGGGTGGCCATTCTATGGACATGTTCTTCTCCACAGAGCCTCTCTGTGTTGGTGCTATTCTAGTCAGCTTTAATTGTCAAGTTGACACAGCTACGCATCAACTAAGAGGAAAACCTGGATTGGGGAATTGCCTAAATCAGATTGGCCTGTGGGGCTCATCTGTAGGGACAGCCTTGATTATTGATGCCGGAGGGCCCAGCCCACTGAGGGTAGCACCATCCCTAGACAGGCAGCCAGGGGCTGTAAAAGAAAGTCAGCTGGATATGAACTTACAAATGAGCCACCAAGCGGCATTCCTCCATGGTTTCTGCTTTAGATTCCTGCCCCAGCTTCCCTCAACAATGGATTGTGACCTGGAAGGCTCAGCCAAATGAATCCTTCCCTTCCCTCCCCATGTTGCTTTTGGTCTGCTTTTCACAGCAACAGAAATAGAACTAGAACAGACGCCATTGCCAGCCTTTAAATGAGCGAAGCTTTATAGTGTGTGTGAGGGCTGGGAGGGGGTGGCCGTTCTTTGTCCTCGTTTTCCAGAGATCTTATCTTGCCAGATTTCACTGACAACCCTGCTGAAATATCTGGGTTACAGGAATCGAGCATCTGTGCAGCTAAATTTGAGGGCACTGAGATCCTTACCACGTCATCTATCTCATAAACATTTTCTTCCTTGCTAATGAGGTCCTATTTTGATCACGTGATAACACCTTAAAGGGTGCAAGGAGTGCTGCCTAGGACGATTGTCCTAGGGACTCCACGGGCTTGCCTGTGCCCCGCCCTGGTGTCTAGCTAGGATGTCAACACGAGGAAACACTGTTCACCTTCTTGGGTGGTCACTCATAGACTCAGGGGAGGTGGCACGTGCTCTCAGAGTGGCTGACACTGTGCCTTGGTGCTGCAGGGGCTGCTTGCTGCGAACGTGTGATTCCAGCTCCACCAGTTTCTGTTCCAGTGTGGATTTGTCCATCCTCAGTGACAGGGAGGTCTGTCCCTCTCCTGTACCCTCTGCTCTTTCAAGCTGTTTACTGAGGGGCCACCAAGCTCCAGTTTCAGCCTGCACGTGGGGTCATTGGCTTCAACCCTGCCCTTCAGCACACCCCAGAACCAATGCCCAGGGGTGGATCACATAGCCAGAGACAGGCAGGGCCAGGACCAGACTGACAGCTGTCAAGGTGTGAGGGTCACCACTTTCTCCTTTTTAAAATTCAGTTAAAAGATTTCTCGAGCTGAGTGGCGGTAGGTAGTGCATGCCTTTAATACCAGTACTCGGGAGGCAGAGGCAGGCAGATCTCTGTGAGTTCGAGGCCAGCCTGGTCTACAGAGCGAGTTCCATTCCAGGACAGGCTCCAAAGTTGTAGAGAAACTCTGTCTTGAAAAAAAAAAGATTTTTCATACTTGGGTTATATTTATTTATTTATTCATTCATTTATTCATTGTTTGTTTGTTTTCCAAGACAGGGTTTCTCTATATAACAGTGCTAGCTGTCCTGGAACTTGCTCTGTAGACCACAAAATCTGCTCAAATTCAATTCAGATAAAATCCCAGCAGTGAGAAGAGGAAGTGGACACAAAGTCCCCACCAAGAAGCCATTTGCAAATTATAGCTGATGGGAGAGGGCAAACAGTTTTCTTCCCTGGAGGGCCACCTTGTTCTGGTGTTGCTGGCCTTTGCGCTGATGAAGTCAGAGCCTTTCCTCACCTGTAGTTACCCGCTCCCACTTCTGTGTCCTGTTGGTTGGTCACCACACTGTGTCACTGGGGAGGCTGAAGGGAGTGGAGCAGTCCTGTGGGTACAGCCATGTGTTCCTAATTTGTGTGTTCTTTCCTCCCCCCAGGTGACTCTGCCCTCTCTGGGGCAACTGCAGCTGCTGAATTACCAACACACTCCACAGACATGGCCGGGGCGTCTGTGAAGGTGGCGGTCCGAGTCCGCCCCTTCAATTCCCGGGAAATGAGCCGTGACTCCAAGTGCATCATCCAAATGTCTGGAAGTACCACCAGTGAGTACTGGCCGCAATGGCTACCATCAACTGCTGGCCACATGGGACCTTGACCATGACTACTAGCCAGACTCAACCTAGCCCATGTCCGAGAGCCCCGAGCCTTCCTCATTCACATGGTGTGTGGGGCTCCCAGAGCTCCCAGATAACAGATGAGCACAGATGATGACTTGTGGAAACAGAAATTTGTTCTCAGGTTCTGGAAGCCAGAAATTCAACACCTAGGCATGGGCAGGTGCTTCCCCTCCAGGCAGGGACCGTCCTTTCTGCCTCTCCAAGTGTCTGGTGGTTGTTGTCTGGCTCGGCTTGTGGCCACACTGCTGTCATTTCTGCCCACATTGTCACTTGGTCTCCATACCATCTGTGCCCCTGTGTTCTGGTTGTTGTATCGTAAACTGGATTGATATTCACACCATAGCTCAGGCTGTCCTTGAACTCTTGCCTCAGTCCCATATATCGCAATTCTAGGTTGGCCTGAGACACAGGCATGTGCCACCATATCTGGGTGTTCCCTGTCCTCAGGTGGCCTTTTTTACAAGGATTTAAGGCATAACTTAATTCAGTATGACTACACTTTTTTGTTTTGTTTTGTTTTGTTTTTCGAGATGGTTTCTCTGCAGCTTTGGAGCCTATCTTGGCATTCAATCTGTAGACCAGGCTGGCCTTGACCTCTCAAAGGGATCTGCCTGCCTCTGCCTCCTGAGTGCGGGGATTAAAGGCGTGCGCCACCACTGCTCATGACAGGTCTCCTCACAAGGAAGACTCAGCCCAGGATGTGCCCCCCCCACCCGAAGTGAACTCGTGGAGAGCCATGGATAAAAGAGCCTGAGCGGGAGGGACTCCCCTGTGCTCTGGCTTACTTCAGAACCACCTTGGTGGATCATCTCTTTAGGCCTCAGTTGCCCCACTTGTGCACAGAAGTGATGCTGGGTCCTCCCCACAGTCCCAATTCCAGGTCACTTCTGAATTCACTAGCCACTCAAAAAACCTCCTGGGGTCAGGGGGCAACTACCCCTGCCTCTGCTCAGCGCACTACCCCTCGCTCTGCTGTGTTCCTGACTGCAGGGGACATTCTGATCCTGAGAAAACTGCTCAATTAATTTCTTTCCCTCAGCCGCTCTGCACACGGCCCCCATCTCCACTTTTGTCCTTCCCACCGGGTGGCCGCCCCTCTGTGCAGGCCCCACAGGCCTTGTATTGTGCTTCTTGTCTTGGAAGAGCCTGGCTTGGGGGTGGAGGGGATGAGGAGAGCAGCTACAGTAATGGGTAGAAGGGATGGAGCTTTTAGCGAGCTGATCCAGTGGACCGGCTTCCAGGCCGTAGAGGCCCCATTTCGCCCTCCTCCTGCTGCCACAGGACAGCCAGTTGCTTTCTGGCCTAATGGGCTCTGCTTTTATGAGAAGCAGAATGTTGGGGGAGGGGCTGTTGGCCCCAAACAGGGCCTCTGCCGGTTGGGCTGGGAGCTGTGTTTGAACAGCCAGGCCTGGTGCACTGTGGGATCTAGGCTTTCTGAGTTGCGTGAGCTGCGGGGTCTCTTTGCTCTCTGGAGTTTAGGCCCCATGTAGAATGACAGTAACATACTGCAGGATCCAGGAGACGGGTTGTGGGGGCAAGGGCAAGACTCTCTCCATGGACCGCTTCCAGCTGGACATGAAGACCTCTCCTCTATTCATTGTCTGCCCCACCCCCAATGAGTTAGTGTGCTTCCTATGCCCTGGGAGACCCCACCCTAGGGAGCGTAGGTCCATATGGGGAACAATGGTGTCTCTAATACCTCATCAGAGTCAGAGAGGATGGGGAGTTTGGTGCATGGAGACCGAGTGCAGCCTGTCCAGGAGTGAGAATGGGACAAGGACGGGGAATCTGGGGCTATGTGGAAGTCCTGGCCTACATTACAAGGGGCGACAGAGCAGCTGACAGGGGTGGGCGATGGTGGCATAAGCAAGGGGTCACGGCCTCCTCACTGGGGTTTGGGAGGCCCAGTTCAGACTGCACTGAAGAAGGTGCTCCCGTTGTGTTGTTCCACGGTGCCCACCTCATCTGTGCTTGGGGTCTGGCTGCAGTGAGGGTCCAGAAGGACATAAAACTAGACCGGCTTGCACTACTGCCTCCTGGAGGCGGCTGTGGTAGGTCAGTCACTGAGCTCTTCCTCTGGCCTCCCAAAGGCCTAGGTAGGGCCTGAGGAGAGAGGGCTCCCAGTGACGCTTGGGCCAGATGTCTGACCAGAGCCTTAGGGGCCATTGAGCATGTTACAATGGCAGAGGACTGCACTGCCATAGGGTGTTCAGCTTCCCAGGGCTGCCATGACAAATAGCTTCAGGAATGTACTATACAGCTACTCTGCAGATTTATAGTATGGGTTGAGGCCTCCTGAGGCGGGAGGGAGGAGCTTCCTTAGGCCCCTGCAGAGCTCCTGGAGTGCTGATGGATTTGATGCTGTGGAGTTCTCACCGGGCTTTTCGTCTTTTTTTTTTTTTTTTTTTTTTTTTCTGAGGCAGGGTTTCTCTGTGGCTTTGGAGGCTGTCCTGGAACTAGCTCTTGTAGACCAGGCTGGTCTCAAACTCACAGAGATCCACCTGCCTCTGCCTCCCGAGTGCTGGGATTAAAGGCGTGCGCCACCAATGCCCGACTTCGTCTTTATCTTAACAGGACACAGTGTCCTGCCTGTATGCGTGGGTCTCCAAATTTTTCTGTTGTGTAAGGATATCTATTGTCATACTAGATGAGGGTCCACTCTGAGGACATCACTTTAATAGGCTCCATTTGCAGTGACCCCCATCTCCTAAGTCACCTTGCCATTCCAGGGAGTTCATTTTGAAGTAGGCGCAGGATTTGGAAAACAGTGCAGTCATGACTGAGAAGAGGTGTCTGTTGCCTCCGCATACCATAGCAGGTGGTCATGTTGGATGCAGGCTTGGTGGGTGTATCAGGAATTCTAAGGGCTATGTTGTGATTCTTACTAAGGAAGACTAGTCTTAAGTTGATTGAATCCTGGGGGTGGGGAGCTTAGCTTTCCAGAGTTATGATTGTGATTGGCCTATGTCCTTTATGGACATCAGAACTCTGAGCAGGGTCCTCAAGCCTGTATCATACACAGGTATTTTGTCTTTGACAGTCTGGGGAGCACAGCCCTAGGGAGTGGGAGCCAAGTCCCCTCTCTATGGCTATAGAGCATAGGTGCTGTGAGCCAGGCCTGTTTGGGATGGAAACCATAGACTATGGCAGGACATTGCAGGCCTCCTGGACTACTGGGCATCTCTCCTGGGAAACTCCAGGCCCAGCTGTGGGCGACACGTCAGTGCTCATACCAAATTTGTCTCTGGTTGTAGAACTAAGACGATGCTTCAGCCATCTAGGTCCCTGGGGCTAGAATGAGGCCTCTATGAGGAGGGGTTAGGAGGCAGACACTGTGATACCTGAAGAGGAACAAGTCAGGGGACAGGCCCATGAGCTTGGGTCATAACAGGCTAGAAGGCATTCATTGACCACAGGAGAGGAGGGGATTGTGGTATTCCTAGAGATTAGTACCTCCCCTGTAAGACATGAGCATGCCACCCACAAACACCCAGATGGTCTGTGCAGGTATCAGAGTGCCTGCAAGAGGTAGGACTGGGAATGTGACAGGGTGTCCTGGATGACAGCTACTTTGGAGGCACAAGTGTTCTAGGTAGGGCAGGTAGACCAGTAAGCTGTAGAACCCTAGACTAGGGGAGCTGGAGCATGCAGTGTAAATGTCTTCAGGATGTAGTCACAAGACAACAGGCTTTGTCTGGTGATGCTCTCTGGTATCTGTGAGTCCTCCCCAGAGAGCAGAGCAATGAGTCCTTTGTGTCTGCAAGGGTCTCTTGTCCCATTTAGTTTGGGGGTCAGTCTGACTTGCCTGGAACTATCTGAGTATTAGGTTTCTACTTGAGGATGCAGTCTGGATGGTTGGGATTCCATAACATGGAATTAACCAACCTCATTATCTGTGTCCCTTGCAGCTATTGTCAACCCGAAACAGCCCAAGGAGACACCCAAGAGCTTCAGCTTTGATTACTCCTACTGGTCACATACCTCGGTGAGCTGCGTCTGGGGAGAGGCAGGCTGGTGTTGTGAAAACTGGCCCAGCCCTGATTGTAGTGCAACCCTTGGGAGTCCTGAGACCTCCCAAAGCTGCATGCTCTCCTATAAAATGGAATGAAGACTCTAGCCTATTCACCTGGAGGGTCACTCTGAGTTGATCACCAACCTCTAAGGACCAGATCACAGCTGCGACCATACACTTAGGTCTTCTCCCTTTTCCCAAACATTCCAAACTCAGAAATCCCAAAGCTGAGCCCTACCTGGGAGCTCCAGCACCCTGAAAGCTGAGAGATACGAGTTTAGACTCCTCCCCCCCAACCCCAATGTCCAGTCCACATCAAGCCCTGTCCATGTTCCACCTCTTCCTGGCTCCTTCTAGAAGCATGCAAACCGTTCCCTCAAGCTCCTTGGCCTCTGATCTCTGAATATAGCCCAGGAGTTCCTCAGTGCTGTCTCCTCATCTAGTCCTTCTCCATGGTTGTGCCCTTTGGCTTGGCCATGCTGTTTATCTGCCTGAGAAACCCTCTGCCCTCAGGATAATGTCCAGCCTATACAGTCCCTGAGCCCCTGGGCCCTGCCTCCTTTCAGCTCTTGCATTTGCTGAACTCACCGCTGTCACAGGAACCTGCTGGGCTAAGCTCTTGTCTCTGGGTCATTGCACACGCTACACTCTGCTGTGATCTCTTTGCACGGCTCCCCTACACTGCCCAGCCACCCTCTGTCTCCCAGTCAGGATTGGGATGTACTATGTGTGTAGCGTAGCCCTTCACCCCAAGGCACCACATTTGGGCTAGGAGGACTCAGGGACGGTCTCAGGGCCCATAGCCTCCTACAGCCACACTTCTTCTCTCTGCAGCCCGAGGACATCAACTATGCCTCTCAGAAGCAGGTGTACAGGGACATCGGGGAAGAGATGCTACAGCATGCCTTTGAGGGCTACAATGTGTGCATCTTTGCCTATGGGCAGACAGGAGCTGGCAAGTCCTATACCATGATGGGCAAGCAAGAGAAGGACCAACAAGGCATCATCCCACAGGCATGTTTGGGCCTAGAAAGGATAGTGGGAGGTGGCCTGAGAGGAGGGAGGGGTAGGGCCTGGGATGGGCTGCAGGAGGGGGTCAGCCTTTGGCAGTGCCCAATGGGGGCATAGCCGCAAGATCAGGCACTGGCTGGGAAGATGTTCTCTGTGGGGGCTGCAAGGACTAGAGGCAGCTGCCAGGTGGCCTGGGCAAGGTTGACCACATGCTGGAGATACAGACAGCTCCTCAGAAGCCACTAAAAGTCTAACCTCTCCCAGTCCATCTCTCCTCCCAGCAGGAGGTCTCTGGATCCAAGCTGGCCAGCACTTGTCCTGGTCAGAGAAGGAGGAATGCTGGGTCTGTGGAGAAACAGTGGCCCCGCCTCTATGCAGATGAGGACAGGGGGATAATCAAGATAATCAAGGAAAGGGCAGATACTAAGCAGGGGGGCACGAGTTAGAAGATGGGGTGCTTGGATTCAGGCCTTTATATTGGAATGTGCATCTTGGAGGGGCCAGAGAAGTCTAGCAAAGCCGCATCCTGCCTGTGTGCAAGTCACTCACAGCACCACGAGGGACGAGGCTCAGGGCCACCAGCCCTCATCAGCTAACGTGTTTTCCTCCCTCCCTGAAGCTCTGTGAAGACCTCTTCTCTCGGATCAACGACACGACCAATGACAACATGTCCTACTCAGTGGAGGTAGGACTTCCTGCCTGCTGAGTGTTTCTGAGTGCAGATCTGGGGAGTTCTGGGTGTGGTCGGTGATGCTTTTCTGATCTAAAATGAGTATCTATTCCTATCACTTACCCGCACGATGACTGTGTCAGCATGCCCACACGGGACTTGGAGACGCTCAGAGCTTAGGGGTGATGGGAAGTTCATCCCTGGCAGGTGTTTATTACATAGCTACTTATTCTGCCAGTGTAGGGGCAGACACCACAGAGCCTGGGCTATCCTATGGCTCTATCCTTGAAGCTGAGGTAACCCTAGAGTGACCACAGGGGCTTGTGCTATGTGGCCAGTCTCAAGATGGCTTTGAGTGGGAGAGGGCTGGGCAGGCAGAAGTAGGCTGATCCTGGCTGAGTACCCTCTGCATGCCCTGCCCTGTAGGCAGGCAGTCACTGTCAAGCCACCTGAAGGTATAGCTTGGTCCTGTCTGTCAGTTACATGGAGGGAGGGCTGGACAGCTAGAGGTCCACACTCATGCAGAGGCCACAGGCTGGGTGCCCTGGGTGCCCTTCCCAGGGATCAACTCTCTTCCCTGCCACAGGGTTCTGATGGTGTTGCTCAGGCTCACTCGGGGTCCTGATGGTGCAGCCTAGCCTCACTTGGGGTCCTGATGGTGTTGCTCTGCAGGTCAGCTACATGGAGATTTACTGTGAGCGGGTCCGTGACCTCCTGAACCCCAAGAACAAAGGCAACCTTCGTGTGAGGGAGCATCCTCTGCTGGGGCCCTATGTGGAAGACCTCTCCAAACTGGCTGTGACCTCCTACAATGACATCCAGGACCTCATGGATTCAGGGAACAAGGCCAGGTATGTGGGATAACTCCTCCTTAGCCACTCTGTCACCTCGGGCTTGGTCCTTGAGGCTATACCTCCTGATAGGTCTATGTGGTAGTTCCCAAGGAGGTATGAGCTTCATGTGCCAGGCCACTGAGGACATGCATCAGCCTGAGAGAGGCTTGGCTCCCACCTGTATAAGGGCTGCTGAGCAAATGGACTGTGCGGCTCTGTCACCTCCAGCAACTAGGCGCTGATAGCAATACTATAGCTCCAGAGCCAGTCTTGTGCCCAAGGGTGGCTATTCTGTCAGGCCTGGGTCTAGGCTAGGTTCATTGTGGTGGCCGTAAGCAACCCATCGCCTTTAGCTTGGGACACTGACTGTCATGATGGTCCTTCTGGCACACATTGTCTCAGGTTGCTTAGGTGACTGCCTTCAGCTTCTGAGGTAGTGTGTGTGTGTGTCCTGAGATACTTCAACAGCCCCTCGGGGTTGTTCATAAAGTCCCTCAGTACATGTGAGGGACAGTGTGACCTTTGTATACCAGGTTCTGAGCTGTTGCAGTGAACTCCATCTTGGGAGATCCTATGAGGTGCTTGGCATGTTGGGGCTGTGTTGGGACCAACTCCCACCTCTCTCAGGCAGCCTTGAGATCTTTCCCCTCATAGGTGGCTTAGTTGGTTCATGTTACCTTTTGTGGGGTATGGCTACCGAGGACATGGTACTCTCCTTGGACTCCCCAGAGTGGCATGAGATGGGTGATGGGTATTGTTCCTTTCCAATGGGGCCTTCCCACGTCAAAGCCTGTGAGGACTTCTGTCCAGTTGGGTGGCGTTGAGGCAGGAAGTGTCTGAGACACTGCCCCTCCCCACATATTTGAAACCATATGTTGAGCATCCCCATGGTGGATCAGCAGGTGGGAACTGGGCTTGAGTTTTGGCAGGCAGTGTGGTCACAGCCAGGTGGAATTTGGGTTCCAGTGACCTAGGTGAGCACACTGCTACCACTAGAAACTCTCATGCCTCATCACTGGGTAAGGGACAGATAACCTCAAGCAGCTTCCTGCTCCCAGGACTGTGGCGGCCACAAACATGAATGAGACTAGCAGCCGTTCTCATGCCGTCTTCAACATCATCTTCACCCAGAAGCGTCATGATGCAGAGACCAACATTACCACAGAGAAAGTGAGCATGTGGAGTGGTCTGGGTGGGCAGATTCCACCTAGGGTGGTAGCTGCCCTTGGGCTAGGGGTGGAAGGTTACCATGGTGTTTGTGGGCCCTTGATACAGGCTGGTAGGTCAGGGTCTCCCCCTCCCCCTGGGGCGATGGGGTCCCAGCTGGGAACAGGACATGTGATGGGCAGTGCCCGCTTGGGCAGAGTGCCTACACTGAGGGAGTATAGCCTTGGCAGTCCCTAGATGCCCCTCCTGCAAGTCACACCTTGGCATTCTCAGTGGATCCAGACATTGTCTGGGTGTTGTTTCCTGGGGTCTTTATCTTAATTATTCAATCTGTGGGCTTCTGGGAGGATAGCAGAGTCATTCTGAGCCTCTTGTCAGTTTCTGTGTCCTTTGCCTGAAGGTCCTCCTGTGCAAACATTCTCAGACTCCTCAGGAAAGAGCTCTGTAGAGGAGCAGAGTCTCCTCTAAGGCTCACGTCAGTCCCTGATAGTGCTGTGGTCACCCCGGCCTGGCGCCATGCTCCAAACTGTGTCCCCTTGAACTAGTAAGAGGCTCGGTCGGGAAGGCAGGGGACACTGGAGAGGACAAAGTTTCTCTGAGAGTGTCCACTATCAGGTCAGGAGAGGCTGTGCCTTCCTGGGGTCATGTGATTGACTGTGTCCCTGCCGAGAGCCTGACCAGCGCCCTGTGAGGCAGCTGAGCAACAGCCAAGGCCTTTCGTGGATCTGAGTTCAAATTCCATCACAGATGATTAGCATCTGTGAAAATGGGTGACAGTACCTAACTGAGTCTACCTCCTATGTTGCTGCCTAGCATGCCCAGCCCAAAGAGGCAGGGCTGTGGGAGGTGTGTGCAGCTTCTGAAGAGGTGGTGTGGTACCTCGCTAGGATATAACGTCAAAAGAGCTGTGAATGGAGCTGAAGAAGGAAACTTGGGGATCAAAGATGGAGGACCCCAGGGAAAGGGTGCAGCCATAGCTCCTTAAGAGGTTCATGAGACAATACCCAGAGGTACAAGATGCCCCTGCCACAGCCTCAGCTCAGGGGCTTGTAGCAGGAGATTTCATATAATGCTTTTGTCGTTTCAGGTGAGCAAAATCAGCCTTGTGGACCTGGCTGGCAGTGAACGCGCTGACTCCACTGGAGCCAAGGGCACACGACTCAAGGTAGGCCAGTGTCCAGACCCAGAAAGAGCAGTGAGTCCACTCAGTGTCCAAGCATTTGCTGATCCAGGCTAGGCTGGACAGGAGGTCTGTTTGGGGATGAAGCAAGATTGGGCCACAACCAACGGTGAGCCTGAACAGGAATGGTGGGGTATTTTGGTCTTCAGTAGACAGAATTACAATCTTGGCACCCCAGCTCTAGTAAACAAGGACAGACACCAGCCAGAGAGTAGGCTCATAGTGTCCTTCACTGTACTTCAGATCCAGCACTTTCTGTCACAACTCAGGAAAGACAGGCTGTGGGGGCAGCAGTGGACTAGCCTGAGTCCTGAGGGCACACCCACTCTGAAAACAATCTTGAATTTCAGGAAGGAACATTTTTACTTTTCTGAGTGTCTCCTACCTTTGACCCTTGCTCGTGATCTGTTGACTGGGAAGGGCCCCTGTAAGTTGTATTGTGTAGAGACATGTGAGGGTTATCTAGGGTGCTGACAGGAGCTGAGCAAGAACACTGGACCTCTGACCAGTTAGCTGCTTAGTGCTTAGTGTTAGTGTGCTTAGTGCTTAAGCACAGGCCTCTGTGCTTAGTGGCCTCAGAGATGGGCTTCAGGGCCCCAGCCCTGGGCCACACAGACCAGGCCCCAGGGATCATGCTAGATCAAGAGGTTCCAGGTGTCACCTGCCATGATGATCACCTTTCTACACACAGGAGGGAGCCAACATCAACAAGTCTTTGACCACCCTGGGGAAGGTCATCTCTGCCCTGGCTGAAATGGTGAGTGGTCTCCAGACTTCTGGAGCTAAATTGGTGGGATGGGTTACAGAGGTGCGACCCTCACCTGCTCCCAGTGAAAAGCTGGGTGTCTGCCACTCATGTTCCTAGGTTCTATCCTTAGAGAGGTAGCTGGGGCTGAAGGGAAAACCCAGAGATGGGTAGAGTATCCCAAAGCGGCAAACAAAATAGCAATCCTTGTTACTCTCCAGAACCTCAGCTTTCTTACCTGTAAAAAAGAGATAACACGCCCCCTTCATCCACCTTCCTGGGGGTTACCACATGTCAGCTGTGAACACGTTGGCTAGCATCCTTGTGGATGGGTAGGGCAGTGCTTAGCTCTGACCAGTGCTGGTCTGATGCAGGCCATCCTCTAGAGGGAGCCCACAGCCCTTGGATGTGATGAGTTAGGTGTGATGCAGCCTGCAGGACAGACATCTGTGTCCACCCACCAAAAACATCCAGGGAAGAGGCCGCATCCTATTCTGAAATTATTAAGCGTATGCAAAGATTGCTGTGTGACAACAGCCTGAGAGATTGTCATACTCTTATTTGATTTGCCTGTCATGACCAGCTCAGCATGGCCAGCCGTGTCTGGGCAGTAAATGACAGATACCTGGCAGGTACTTGGGCTTCTACCTACAATTTGTCCCTCTGGAACCAGCCTGTCCTCTCTGCCCACTGTACCCTGGGACCCTAGCCTTGCTCCAGGTTCTTAGACTCTTTCTGTTCTTTGCTTTTCAGGACTCGGGACCCAACAAGGTAAACTGAGTTCTTTGACTTCAAGGGAGAGGGGGTGGGAACAGAGTGCCCTTGGCCCCAGCTCCCCGCTGAGCAAGTCTCAGCAGTAAAGTCAACACCTCATTCATTCACTTAATGAAAAAACAGAGTGAACTTCTGAGCTTGGGATCTGTGCTAGCAGCTGGATGAACAACCCAAATTACTCCACAGTTGGGAGCACAATAAACAGAAACATGAAAATGTAATTACAGATTGTAATGAATTCTACATGGGGGGAGTCTTCAGTGGTGACCCCAAAGTGAAATCTTCAATCTGAAGGGATAGAGAGCTTTATAGAGAACCATGGCGCCAGGCAGAAGACCTGAGAACTGGCGAGGCCCCAGACAGGCAAGGGCGTTTGGCATGTAGTGGGAAGGGCTGATGTGAGGTGCTGAGGCAGTGTTAGGGAACCGTGGGAGACACAGGGAGGCAATAGAGAGTAGGTGGAAAGTGTGTGGAGTTCTGAGGAAGTGCATGAGAAGGCGCTGTGTGAGGGAACCACACTGTAGGCAGCTGTGAGGCACTGTATGGTAGCCTGTAAGGAAGCCTTGAGAAAGTGAGAGCGAGTGGCACCTTTGTGGGGTGGGGATATGCAGAGAACGGTGAGCAACTGTCTGGGCTTTGTTTGAGGAACCAAGAGAAAACCTGGGCGAAAGGCCCGAGGAACTTGGTGACGGGTTCTGGCAGGGACTGATAAATTGCGTGGATTTTGAGAAACGATGGAGCGTGAGAGGCAGTATGGGAATATGAGATGAAATTGTGAAATTGTGGGAGCTGCATGGAAGTTGTGTGAGGAACTTCCAGGAACGTGGGTTTTGTGAAACTGTAAGGAGTGTATGAGCAGTTTCGAAACTGAGGAAGTGTTTTAAAGAAACTGAAACGAAGCGTGTGCGTAGATTCTTTTCTCATCGCTGCGATAAAAATCCCCAACAGCACCTTGAGAAGGGAAGGGGACTGGCAGGGTGGCTCAGTGCGTAGAGGTGTTTGTCACAATCATGAACCTCATGATGAAAGGACAGCCAACTCCCACAGCTTGTCCTCTGCCACATGTACACAGGGGCACTCACATGCCTGCATGTGTGTGTGTGTGTGTGTGTGTGTGTGTGTGCGTGTGCACGTGAGCATGTGTGTGTGTGCACGCTCACGTGTGTGTGTGTGTGTGTGTACGTGCGTGTGCGTGTGCACGTGAGCATGTGTGTGTGTGCACGCTCACGTGTGTGTGTGTGTGTGTGTACGTGCGTGTGCGTGTGCACGTGAGCATGTGTGTGTGTGCACGCTCACGTGTGTGTGTATGAGCGAGTGCGCACACATATAAATAAAAGGTTTTTTGGGGGGGTTGGTTTTTTGATAACTGGAACTCACTCTGTATACCAGGCTGGCCTTAAACTCAGAGATCCACCTGTCTCTGCCTCCTGGGTGCTGGGATTAAGGCACGCACCACCACTGTCTGCCTAATAAATGCTTTTAAACACAGAAAGGAAGGGTTTATTTGGCTCACTGTGTGAGGATACTGTGGTGGGGAAGGCACAGTGGGAACTTAAGAAGCAGACAGGGTGAACACCACAGCTCAGTTCCCCTTGCTTTCCAGTCCAGGACCACCTCACCCCTGTGAGGGGAATGGTGCCACTCCCATTTATGTTGGGTCTTCACACTTCAGTGAACTCAACTCGAAACTCTACCACAGCTGTGCCCAGGGATTTGTCTCCTAGGTGATTCTAGATTTTTTTTCAAGTTGACAGTGTTTACAATCATGCTGTGATCCATGAGGACCCAAGAGGTAAATGTTATGAGGAGCCATGAGAAACTGTATGAAGAAGGGTGCCCAGGCTCTTGAGGATTTGTATGAAGAACTGTGGAGAATTTAAGCCTGTGGGCAGCTGGATGAGTACTAGGAGCTGTATAGCAACATGCGAAGGAACTCTGAGGATGTGTGTGGGGAACCTGTGTGAGGAACTGAAGAATTCTGAGAGAAAATGAGCTGTGGAGGGACTGTTACTGAATTGCATAATTGCTGTGTCTATGACTGGGGGAAACTGTGAGAGGCTGTGTGTGGATTTAGAAGAAACTGTGTGTGTGGAAGCCGTGAGGAATCGTGTCTGCAGTGTGGCCATGTTTGAAGAATTGTGAGGAGCTACTGGACAGTTTGTGTAGGAACCATAGAGGAACTGATGAGTTAAGAGTAGTTGTATAAGCTGGGCAGTGGTGGTGCACGCCTTTAATCCCAGCACTTGGGAGGCAGAGGCAGGTGGATCTCTGTGAGTTCAAGGTCAGCCTGGTCTCCAGAGCGAGTTCAGCCAGGGCTACACAGATAAACCCTGTCTCAAACCCCCCTCCCTGCCAAAAAAAAAAGTAGTTGTATAGAATGGTGTGAATACCGTGTGGGGAGAACAGTGTGAGGTATGTGTGAGTGTGTGTGTGTGTGTGTGTGAGTGTGTGCATGTGTGTGTGTGTGTAAATGTATGTGTGTGAATGTGTGTGTGAGTGTGTATGTGTGTGAGTGTGTGAGGTGAGTGTGTGTGAGGTGTGTGTATGTGTGTGAGTGTGTATGTGTGTGTGAGTGTGAGTGTATGTAGTGTGTGTGAGTGTGTGGGTGTGGGTGTGAATGTGTATGTGAGTGTGTGAGTATGTGTGTGAATGTGTGTGTGAGGTGTGTGTGAGTGTGTGTGTGTGTGAGTTGTGTCACACCTATTCGTTATCCATTACCAAAAGGTCCGTGAAAACACACATATACAAGTAATATTATACAGACTGAACAATGTGTGTGTGAGTGTGTGTGTATGTGTGTATATGTGTGAATGTGTGTGAGTGTGTGTGTGTGTGTGTGAGTGTGTGTGTATGTGTGTATGTGTGTGAGTGTGTGTGTGTGTGTGTGTGTGTGTGTGTAACTTATGAACACTCTGAAGACTGTATGGGGAAACTGAAAGTGGATAATTATGTAAGGGATTCTGTGAGAGCTTTGAGGGACATTAAGAAATGTTTTAGAGAAAAAGTTGTGTGAGGAATCGCCAGTGACTGTGAGAAGTGAGAACTGTGTGAGGAGCCATGAGTGGATGGTGTGGAACTCTGAGGGTCTGTGTGCACTGCTGTGAGGAACTCCTTGAGGAAGGTGTGTTAACTGTGTTAACTGAGTGAGGAGCCATGAGGCAGTAGAGGACCTTGTGGGGACAGTGTAACGAGCTGTGTGAGGGAAACTGATAAAAATGTCTAGGAATGGAGTGACTTTTGAAGTTGCTGGTTGAGGAACGGAACCTGGAGAGGAAGTAGCTGTAGATGAGGAGAAAGAACACGGCCTGAGGATGGACGTGAGGCCTTTGGTCCACAGCAGGGTTTGGCCGACTGTGACTTAATAGGAAGCAGTCGGTGGGTTTTCAACAGGGCTAAATCAGGCTTAATCTGGGCTCAGGCATGATTGTGGATTGCCAGTGAGATGGGCCTGGCATGGTAGTCAGAAGACCAGAAAGTCAGTGTGGCAGTGATGAGAGAGAGAGAAGAGAGAGAGAGAGAGAGAGAGAGAGAGAGAGAGAGAGATTGAGAGAGCAGCGGTTCTGGGAAGTGGCAGAGGTGACTGGACAGGGGCTTCCAGAGGATTGGATGAGAGCAGTAGGATCATGAGGTACTGTTGGGTTCCTCGGCTGAAGTGACAAACATGCTGTGGGACCAAGAAATACAACCACAACAGAAAATTCAACCTCAGGTACTAGACACTAGAAAACCAAACCAGAAATGTTTTTTCTTGTACTGAGTTTCCAGAGGCAAAACGGGAAGTGTCTGGTATGGACAAGCTTTCGGGGCCGGGGGAGGGCAGGGAGGGAATGACAGACACTCTTACATGCTGCTCAGAGAGAAGTCGGTGCAACCGTTCTGAAACCCACTTTGATGGTATGGACATCCAAAATGTATACCCTTGTGAGGTAGAGGAGTCTGTTTTAGGAATGAAGAGGAGCTATGTCTGCATCCTAGGAGAGGGAGCAACCCTTGAGATGGAACCTGTGAGCTTCCCTAAGAGTGGAGGCTCCAGGGGACATGCTGGCCACAACAGGTGCTCAGTTACCAATTCATAAACAAGTGCACCATGAACTAGTAGTCGCTGGGCGGTAACTAGGTATCTGAAATCTACAACACCTTTAAGTCACTCACCTGTCTATAAGAAGCCAGGGTCAAGAGTATGCAGGGTGGCCATGCTCCAGGAAGGCACAGAGGGAGCAAATTACTAAAGGAGGGGCCCAGAGTTGACTTCTGAGGGACAGGAGGGAGTTTTGTGGAGAACGGAGACTAGGTGGACATCGGAAGTGCTTCATTAGTGGGGAAGCCCTTTCACCCTGGTGGATGGCATTGCTGTTCTGGGAGGGTGGGGAAAGACACAGTAAGCAGCGATGTCAGCATTCCTGGCTGTGAGTCCAGTTGAGTGGCCCAGACACAGAGGAGTGGGTGAGGGAGGAGCCGGAAGGATGAACTAGCATGACCTTGATCCCAGCCCAGATCTAAATTGTCTGGAGATGGCACGCCGGATTCAGGTGAAGTGAAGGGAGGCACTGAGAACATGGTACTTGCCTCCCTTTCCTTCCCCCTTGCCACCTCCCCCTGCTCCTCCCTCCTCTCCCCTTCCTTCCCTTCCAGTAGACACAGGCTTGACCTTGAATGTTCCCACAGAACAAGAAAAAAAAGAAGACGGATTTCATCCCTTACCGAGACTCCGTATTGACCTGGCTTCTCCGGGAAAACCTGGGTGAGCATGCACCGATTTTCTGATCACCAGTGGGTGAGCCTGTGCCAACTCCCTGGTCGCTTGGCTCTGACTTCCACTCTGAGCTATGCCCATCTCTTTGTGAGGAAAGAAACAATTCATTGCTCAGCTACAACGCAGCTGAGGTGCATTTTCTGGGCAAGACTGAAGTAACCCTAGAGGGGTCAGTTGGTTCATAGTTCAACCCTTCTGGAAGTCCTGGGGCAAAGGTGAGTGAACCAAAACAAATTTGGGGGACCACAATGGTCCTCAGGACCCACAGAACAGGTGCCCTGGTGTCTACCTTCGTGGGTGAACTTGTTTTTGACACCTGAACAAGTTCCTACCCTTCTCTGGGTCTTTAGTTTTGTGTCTGTAATAGGGACCCAGCCCTTGGTTCTGGGAGCCCTGCTGACCCGCTGGGATTTGAGGCATTGATATTAACCTTCTCCTTGCTGCCTGAATTCTGAGTGGGGAGAGATAGAGAGATGACGGCTGATGGATGCACAGCATGGAACCCATCCTTTCCAAATTGACCCCAGGGTCCTCTCTGGATACCCTTATAGCTGGAGAAACTGACACCCAGGGTGATAAACTAGATCTTAGGTGCGACTCCCTGGCTTTCTTGGCTACATGGTTCTGCACCCCACAGTTGGCTATGCTGATATTCACCTCAGGCCAGCATCATGTGTCACGGCAGCTCCAAGGACATGGGAGCATATAGGGGCAGATGGGCCCTAGTGAGAGGACAGGAGTGTCACCACAATTGCCTGTTCCTTCACCTGAGATGAGACCTAAGTAAGAAGCAGGTCACAGGACCACAGTTTTAGCCCTAGAGGAGAGCCTCATGGAGAATCCTCTACTCATATAACCGTTCTTGGGGTCTGTGCCCAAGCCATTCTCTCCTCACAGTATCTCTAGGAGACTCACTGGAGAGGGATGTGGCCCCAAGGACATGATTCTCTGAGGTAAAGCAGGCAAGAGCATGGGCATACTTGGAGCACGGACAAGTGGGGGTCCTGAGGACTGAAGCAGGCTCAGTGTGTAACTTTGTCTGGGCTGCTAGGCCAGCTGACCCTAACAGGATTCACTATCCAATACTCCAACCACCAGGAGCCCTAGAACCACTGTTTCCTCCTCTAGCTATAACCGACTCTAAGCCAAGAATCTCATGTCAAATCCTGAGGAGAGTATTTCAAATGGAAATGATAAAAATGAGTAGAAAAAAATATTGGCCACAAATACTGAAACAAGTTTCCACACAAACAAAAAACAATAACGGAAAACCAAAAACAAGCTCTCCACGACTTATCTTTGCTGTAGGGAAAAGGAAGCCCATGGTGGGCAAAGGCTAATGAGAGCTGAGGGGCAGTCAAGGGAGGCCCGACCTGTCACTGTCTATGAGACACAGGCCTGGGATTGAGTTTCCTCTCTGGACTTCGTCATCTCCACCTGTACCTGCAGTAAGAAGACCTTGTACACAAACCGATTATCTTCCCACAGGTGGCAACTCAAGGACAGCCATGGTGGCAGCCCTCAGCCCAGCAGATATCAACTATGATGAGACCCTCAGCACACTGAGGTATGTATGTTCTGCAGGTGACCCTGGAGTAAGAACATGTCTTTCCATGATCCAGCCAACACCAGTCAAAGGGTGTTCTTTTGGGGAGTGTTCTCTGGGAACTCAGAGGCCAGCAATAACTGTGCTGGAGCTCCAGGGTGCTTGTGGGCCCAGTTCTGTCCCTATTATCCTTTAGAGTCAATTTCAGGGCTAATGGTGGCCCAGAGCCCTGTGACCCCGGGCTGGAAAAGCCATGCTTCTGGCTGTGGGAGTGGAGGACTTTAAATTAGCAAATAAGGTCCAAGAAGCTCTCCCCAAATCTCCCACTATGAGGTGGACATTTTTCAGATGAGAACCGTGGGGGCAGAAGGCAGCTTGATTGGTTGGGTTGGGAATGGTTGGCCTCTACAGAGTGTACACTTTCTGTGGAAAATGGAGCCTGTGTCACATGGCATCACATGTGCCCTGTGACGGCAAACAGCATGCTGAGCTGTGACACACGTGTGTGGCCATTCCCACACACACATGCATCTTGCACCCCAGTTTTAGAATAGCCCTCTCTACCCTCGGATACCAGATTCAAGTCCAAGGGTGGTCAGTTTGGGGAAGGACACTGCCCTGTGCCTTCTGCCCCTGACCCCTAGTTCCCCAAAGTAGACAAGGCAGGCTGGACTATCCCACCTGTAGGTTGTTCCTGGACACTGGTCCCAGAGACTATCCTTTAGGGCAGTGGGGTGATTTCTCATTCTGCCAGCCTAGGTCAAAGATTTTCTCCCCAGCCGAACTCACCAGGCAAAGTTCTGAGCGCCCCTGGGCTTGCTCTGCGGACCTACCCCCAACTCCTGTGTCTCTTTGCTGTCCAGATACGCAGACCGGGCCAAACAGATCCGCTGCAATGCCATTATCAACGAAGACCCTAACAACAAGCTGATTCGAGAACTGAAGGATGAAGTGACCAGGCTTCGAGACCTGCTGTACGCCCAAGGTCTTGGCGATATCACTGACAGTGAGTGTCCATGCCGGTCTGCCCTGGGTAGGGCAGGGGCCTCAGACTTGAGGACCTCTTGTGCCTCGTGCCCTCTCTCCTGGGGCTGTGTCCTACTCATGTGGTGTTGACACAGTTGTCGGGAAGTGTTGAAGTTGCCCAGAACTTCATCCCTCCTCCAGCTCCTGGGCAGAATGCCGCGGGGTGGGAGGCCTGGGCGGGCAAGGACTGGGCCAGGTTTTCTGGCCTTGGCCTGGATGGATTGCATGGTTTGGGTTTGGAGCTGGCCCAAGCAGGCCAGGGAATGTTTCCTGGAAGCCCACAGGCCAGCTGCAGCTGCTGGGATTTTGGTGGGTCCTATGTCCCTACCCTGAAGACCTACTCTCCCCTAAGCTATTCGCTCTGTGAGACGGGTACATGGACCCTTGGGGACAAACTGCTCTGTTTCTCTGTCTCTTCCTCCCCTGCCTGCCCTCCCCATAGCCAACACTGTGCCCGGAGGACCCAAATGTGTGTATTCCCCACTGCTGCTCTGCACCCCTGCTTTCATCCCGGCCATGGGGGCCACAGGGCAGCACGGGTGGGGAGGGAGACCCCACAACCTCTTCTGCCTCCCCTACTTCAGGGCTGTTCAACAATGGGGGATTCCATCTGTCTCCAAGCCATGTTCCTGGTTCACCTCTGTCTGTGTGGGAAACTGAGGCAATAAATAGGCAGAGTGCATCCAAAGGAGACTTGGGCTAGACTCGTGAGCACCCATGGGCTCTAGAAGGTCAGGTGGTAGAGCCTGAGGACTCGGAGGGCCAGAAAGCCATGCTATCCTGGCTCCCGGCTCCTGGCCCAAGCCTACCTCTGCCTGCTCCTTCTCCAGCTCCAGCTCTCCCCACATCTGGGTCCCTGGAAGTCTCTTGAGGCTGAACATGTCAATGGTGCTCCCAAGTCTCTTCCAACCTGAGGCCTGGATCCTTGGGGTTCACTTCCCCAGAGCCCCGTGCTGTCCTGTGTTGGCTGCTGCTTTGCTGTGTGTCTGCTTCTACTGGGAAGGGCCTGGCACCTCTCCTCCAGGTGTCACAGCCCAACTCCCCATCTTTAAGGGTGATGGAATTCTGGGGGTGGTGGAAGAGTAGGGGCTCCCTCAGGAGTGTTCTCCATGCACCTTCTCCAGGTAGTCTTTGGGCCCATTCTGGGCTCAGCGGGATGAGGAATACAGCTTGGTTTGCAGCACAGGTGCAGCCCTTCCGCAGAAGACGGAAATGGACCTTGGGGGTAGGGAGGACAGGTGCCTGAGTGAGCTTAGGTGAACTCCTGGCCTCAGGTGCAGGGGCACTGTGAGGTGTGGCTAACAGGCATGGGCCTTGGATGCAAGTACAGGGGCTGCAAAAAGGCCCCAGTCAAAGGGAGATGGAGTGGCTGTGGGTGCTGCTGAGGGAAGAGGGCCCATGGGTCAGGCAGGTGAGTGGCAGGGCTGAGGGTGGCAGGAGACCTTGCATGCGCTTGTCCTGGGCAGCTGGGCCAGGCTGCTGTGCCTTGCCTGTGTTTCCCGTTTCTTGCCTCCCCTGACCCTGCCTCTTGCTTTTCCCACCTGCTTCTTTCTCTTCTCTCCTTCTTTCTCTCTTGCCTTCCCTTCAGAATGCCTTAGATGTGTTCGACCTTGAGAACAGTAACCGTAACTGTGGTGGGGCCGAGCTAAGCCAAGCCCCTAACAATCTCTCCACAGTGACCAATGCTCTGGTGGGCATGAGCCCCTCATCTTCGCTCTCAGCCCTGTCCAGCCGTGCGGCCTCTGTGTCCAGTCTCCACGAGCGCATCCTGTTTGCCCCAGGCAGCGAGGAGGCTATCGAAAGACTGAAGGTGAGGACTACCTGGTCCAGGGTCCTCCTGGGTGGGTGATGGGCATCAGCCTGTAGGACAAGGGAGGCTCAGAGAAGTGAGGGAGCGCCCTTGCCTGTGACCTCTGGGACACCCCTGTATATAGCCTCACCTCTCAAGATCAGAGTGGTGTAATAATGGAAGTCTTGGGTATGCAGCTACCCTGAGGCACTGAGGCCAGCCCCGCAACAGCAGCCAGAATAGCTAGTGCATTCAGGCATCAGGCTGCATGAATTTGGATAACGAACAGAACTCCTGGGAAGTAAGTGCCTTTGAAGGTCCTTTTTAAAATTAATTAATTAATTCATAATTAAAAAAAAATTTATGTGTGTCAGGTGGTGGTGGCGCATGCCTTTAATTCTAGCACTTGGGAGGCAGAGGCAGGGAGATTTCTGGGAGTTCAAGACCAGCCCGGTCTACAAGAGCTAGTTCCAGGACAGCTTCCAAAGCCACAGAGCAATCCTGTCTCAAAAAAACAAAACAAAACAACAATAACAAATTATGTGCATTGGTTTTTGCCATGGTTGTCAGGGTCCCCCGGAACTGCCACATGGGTGCTGGGACACTTGCTTCTTTTTCACTCCTGATTTGTTTTTCTGGCCTTGTTCTATGGGGTGTGTTCAGGAAAGTCTGTTGTACTTCACCTTGATCCTGCAGAATCTCTTATGCTGGGAGGTGCCTGGGCATCTGAGCCTCGGGGCTCTGCAGGCTCTTTCCTGGCTCCCCGCGTCCTTTGACAAGCCACCCCACAGCACAGGCACAAACTGGGGTCTCACCCTGCTCTGTCTCACTCCCCAGGAAACAGAGAAGATCATTGCTGAGCTCAACGAGACCTGGGAGGAGAAGCTGCGGCGGACGGAAGCCATCCGGATGGAGAGGTGGGCAGTGGGGGGGTAGGGGCCTGAACATTCCAGAGAGTCCTGGCCCCCAAACCTGGAAACCCAAACCCTGGGGGGAGGTTGCATGTCTGCCATGGGACAAATCTGTGCTGCCTGACCCAAGCAGCTAACATGTGGCACTGGCCACTGGCCATTGAGGCCTCGAAGAGCAGATCTGTGGGTGAGCACAGTCCTACAGGCGGACACTGCCCAGGCACTGCTGACAGTTCCTGGTTGGTGGGTGGGTCAGGCAGGGTGGGGCTAGGTCTGGAAACCTCTGAGCTTGTGCTGACCGAAGCTCTGTCTTCCAGGGAAGCCTTGCTGGCTGAGATGGGTGTGGCCATGAGAGAAGATGGTGGCACCTTGGGTGTGTTTTCTCCCAAAAAGGTAGGAGCTGGGCCGATGTGGACAAGGTGTTGGACCACTGGTGGATGTCAAAGTGGGCAGGGTCCCTGGGGAAGGAGTAGAAGGATGGAGTTCTGGCACAGGCATGAGCCAGCCTTACCTAGACTTTCCATTGTGTGGTGGGACATCCTGCTGTCTGAGAAACATCCCGTGGGGCTCGGGACTGCTTGAGGTTTACACTCGGTTTGTCAAGATTGTAGCAAGACTTGGGGGAGATGCCCAGGGTGGAGAGCTGAGTGTTGTGGATCTACCTCCACCCTGAGTCTGCTACTTCTGGAAGCTTCTGACCTTCCTTTCCCAGAGCAGTTCCCTGGCTGCAAGGCAGAGTGGCAAAAGTCCAGGAATATAGTCTGGTCCCCAGCCATAGCCAGTTTCCAGGCCCTGTTTTGTGTCAAAGAAAGGCTGCTCTGGAGGGAAGTGGAGTTAGTGGCTTGGGCATCTGAGAGATTGGGCCAGACACCTGTGGGCAGCTTCCCTAGAGTCTGCTGCCCTGCCTTGGTCTGGGACTGCTTGGAAACAATGCATCACGTGAGAGCTTGAGGTGGCAGGCTGGGGTCATGGAGAGAGACCCAGGTGTAGGTGACCCTGTGGGCTCTAGCCAGGCCATTCAAGGCACTGTAGCTGGTTCACTGTACACACACAGAGCAGTTCTCTTAAACTTGCCCAAATGTGAAATGCATGGCCAGAGAGGCTTTTTTTTGGCATTCCAAGACTGCTGTACCACCCAGGAGCAGAGGACACAGCACTGTAGAGTCCCCACCATGTATCTCTGCGAGGGTCCAAGTAAGGCTCCACGTTGCCAGTGCATAACATTAGGCGGCTGAGCTTGTGACCGGACACCTCTGTGACCAAAGTTTGGGAAGGGCTGGGAAAGGTCATGGTCTAGCTTGGGACTCTGTGAGGACCTCAGAGTTTCCAGGACTCAGGGAAAGTAGGAAGGCCTGCTGAGTCGTCGTGATACCACCTCCACTGAGCTCTTCCTGGCTGGATGAGTTGGGGATGGCTGGTGCTGACGGTCAGGACTCTGCACCCATGCTCAAGGGTGCACTTGGATTTATAGTATAACATGGCAGTGGCTCACCCCAGGGTACCCTGGGGAAACAGGAAGCAGTCCCATCCTGGCACCTCTTCCTTGTTACAGGACCCTGGCTTGGGACACAGGGATAAGATGACTCCTTAGAATCCTGTAGGAGGGGGCAAAAGCAAGAACGACCTGGGACAGGAGGCAGAAGGCAGCTATCAATGGGTGGGGGAGACAGGAAGCAGACATCTCCACCTGGAGTTGGGATGCTAGCTAACATGCAGGTCCTAGGTAGCCCAGGGGTGACTCCATCAGCCGGTTCTTCCCAGGCCTCCGGGGAGACTATTCTTGACCAGGGCCCTTATCCTGCTTGCTGATAGTTTCGCTGGAGAGCCTTTTGTTCCAGGTTGTTCCCCTGGAATGACCTTTCTGGAGCATCCTTTTATGGTACAGAGGCAGGTGCCTAGGACTCTTGGCGTGGGGGGGCAGGACCAACCCTGGAGCCCAGCATGTGCCCTGCACATCTAGAATCCCGCCCCCAGTGCAAACACAGATTCCATCTAACCCTTACCTGAAGTCTTCCAAGAACTGGGAGCTGGGTCTCCCAGATGCCCCCAGCAGCCAAGTTCCCCACAAAATATTCAGGCCCTCCTGAGCCTGCTGTTGTCAGGAAGGCCTGAGTCTGGACTTTCTTTGTCCTTCATTTTCCTGACGAGGAGTTGCCAATCTGGTGAGGCCAGCTGAGCTTGGGGCTCTGGGGTTCTGGGTGCCCCAACTAAAGGTTCCCTGGGTACCCTTGCACTCCATGTCTCTTCTTCTCTGCCAGGCTGGGGAGGGCACTGTGTCCCCAGCAAGCCCGGATCTGAGGATGGTGGTAGTCTGGTGCCTGCAGAGGGCGGGCAGGATGGCCACTGTGAGAATTCTGCTTCCCCCCAGGAGAGTGACCCTTCTGTTTCTCCCCAGACACCTCATCTTGTCAACCTGAATGAGGACCCATTGATGTCTGAGTGCCTCCTCTACTACATCAAAGACGGGGTCACCAGGTAGGGGCTGGATGGGTCATTGAGTGGAGGGAGGGGTAGCAGCTGAGGGGATCACAAGGTGAGAGAGCTATAGCATCTCCAGTCAGCCTGGATCCAGTGATTTGGGGAGTGTAGGTCCCCTATCCCCACTACCCCGCACTGTCCCGTACGAGCTGAGTTGGATAGCAGCTCTATGTGGTCCACAACGCTTTTTCTGAAGTGCTCCTGGGGCCATCTGGATCTCCCCACAGCTGGGCTGCACTGGTGGTCTCTCGCCCACTCTCACGTCCCCATATTCCCACAGTACATATACCTTGGTATTTAAAAACAAAACCAAAAATGAAACGTGAAAACCCAGCTGGGCATCCCTGGGAGCTGCCCGTAGGAGTGAGCCAGGCAGAGTGGGTGTGTTCGGGGCCCTGCCGCTATGCTGCCATGGTTCCTCAACAGAGTGGGCAGAGAAGATGCAGAGAGGCGGCAAGACATTGTCCTGAGTGGGCATTTCATCAAGGAGGAGCACTGCATCTTCCGGAGCGACTCCCGGGGAGGCGGAGAAGGTAGTGTTGTCCTCCGGCCCCCACCCTGCCCCGTCTGCTGACCTGGCATCCGTGAGACCTCGTGGGTCACCCCTATCCAGCTTCTGGGCTCTAAGTGGATCCTGAAACACACCAGTACAGGAACAGTATGAGCCCCAAGGACAGCTGAGTGACACCCTCTATTAGAAAGGTTTTTGGGAGAGGCCTGGTGACTCCTGTGGCCAAGCGGCTTTTGCTCTGGGGAGCCATATTCTGCCTGGAAGGCTGGGGCCCAGGGGCATGGTGGGTGCTGGGGCAAGGACGTTGCTAAGTGTTAGCAAGCAGGTAGGGATGTGTAGGCAGAGGAACCTCGGGCTACGTGGATGGAGCCCACTCTAGTGTTGAAGTGGTTTGGAGAGCATGCTCTCCTGTCGGTTGGGGAGCAGCTGTCTGTGGTCTGGCTACCACTGCCTGCAGAAGATGGAGCTGCCCAGTGCTGGGCCGGCCCTGCTGGTGTACCGACACTGTGTCCATGCCTCTGAGTACAGAGCTGGTGTCCAAGCCAGAAGGCATCTGACCATCCTCAGTCTTTGATTCCATTACCAAATCCCTGTCTAACTTGACCACCTTGGGATGGTGGCCCTAAATGGTGCTTGGGACAAATGTCACTCCTAGATTTCCCCACCCACAAATCCCCACTTCTTTTCTGTGCAGGTGAGTCATAGGGAACTAGGGCCTTCTGGGGACATGTTAGCCACTATTTCTTAGTCTTGTCCACTTAGAGGCCTGAGTAAGAACATGAGAAGTCAAGCCCAGCATTGCCCCCCCTCCCACCTAGTCTTGGCTTGGGCCCATGTGTCTCCTTCTTGGTATTTTTCTCCTTGACTAAATGATGGGAACCCTGGGTTCATCCAAGAAGTCTTACGCATGGTCAGATTGTATTGCCATCCAGGAATAAGGAACCTGAATGGTGCCCACCAGGGGCCAAGAGAGCTGAGCCACCGAAGCAATGACCTCTTACAGTGCCCTTCTTATGTGTCTCGTAGCCGTGGTGACCCTGGAGCCCTGTGAAGGAGCTGACACGTACGTCAATGGCAAGAAAGTCACTGAGCCCAGCATCCTGCGGTCAGGTATGGCTGGGAGCACTAGGGGACTGTAAGGTAGTCAAATCGAAGTCTTTGTGCTCATCCTCTCGGGCATAGTTTAATCCCAACAAAAGGTAGCTTTGCTATGGACACCTGAGCAGCCCTGAGACCCTCTAGTCCCCAAACTGGTCTCTTGAGGACTAAAGTGCCTGGACCTGAGACTACAAAGGCAGAGGAGGCTCCACTCACAGAATACTGGGTTAATGGAGGTCCTGAATGGTCACTTTGTTGGACTAAGCTCGGGAGAGAGGGCAGGAGACAGACAGATGGTTGGCCAAACTGTGGTATTACAGAGCAGTCAGTGTGGGACAGGTTACCACCTTCTTCAACACCATTTTCCTGGGATTAAACAAATTTCCCACCCTGCTGCTATAAAAACCACACACATACAGCTGCTAAAGTCTCCTCCAGGAAAGTCCTATCAGATATCCCCAGACAATGTAACTGTTGTCTGCATGATGGGAGGCATGGAGATACACGTGGCTGAAGACAGAGCTGGGCAGATGAGTAATGACACATGCACACATGTGTAAGGAGACTCCCTAGGAACTGACTTACAGGAGAGTCAGTCACCATTGTGGCCATGACAAAGTACCCGGGGAAACAATTCAGGAGAAGGAGGATTGCTTTTGGCTCACAGTTTCAGAGGCTTCAGTCCATCTCCATTTTTGGGCCAGTGGTAGTCAGAGCTTCATTGTGGGAGGGTATGGTGGAGCAGAGTTGCACAGCTCTCCGTAGCCAGGAGGCAGAGGTGAGAATATGAAGGTTCTGGGAACAAGATCTACCCTTCAAGGGCATACCCTCTACTTCCTCCAACAAGCCCGCACCCTGGTGACTCACTCATCTACTGTGAACTCACCGGTAGTTTAAGCGCCAATGAAGTTAGTGCTCTCATGGTCTCATCACCTCCCCATAGTGCCCCTGGCTGGACCCCTAGCCTTCAACATCTGAACCTTTGAGGGAGACGCCATATTGAACCCACAACATTCTACTCCTAGTCTCCCAGCCTGTGTCCATCTCACAATGCACAGTGTATTCCATCTGTCTCCAAGAGTCTCCACACATGGAAAGTTCCATCATTGCTTAGGAGCCCGAGTATAAGGTGTCCTCTTAGACTCAGGGCAAACTTTGTGGCAAGCCCTTGTAAAACCAAAATGGAAATGACACACTTCTGGTATATGATGAGACAGGGTATACATTCCCACACTGAAGGGGAGGAATAGAAACTTAGCAAGGAGGAACGGGGCTGAAGCAAGTCAAAACTCAGCAGGGCAAACAATAAGTCCTATAGCTCCATGTTTAGAAGCCAAGGCATGTGGTGCTATGTTGTGAACTTTAAAGGCTTCGGTAGTCTCATCCCTCGGCCCTCTTCAGCTGTGGCCCACAAGGCTTATTTCCTGGAAAGGCTCTGCTTCTGGCTCATGGCTTTCCTCAGAAGACATTCTGTGTTCTTGGCATCTCTGGCATGCTGGGGTCTTCGCAGTAACACAGTATTTACTCTCGCAGCTTTATACACTGTCCTCTCAAGGTCTGCCTGTGAGGGGTTTAA